ATCCGCCCTTGGTTCGGCGCCACTGATAATACCTATGCACCTAAGTATAACATTCTATACTGGTATAATATATTGTTTATATACATATATATAGTATCTATTGTAGTCGTATCATAACATATTAACTAGTATAAGTAGAATTACAGAAACATTATTTTATATAAAACTGGCGTATGATGAATTATGATAACAATTAAATAACTGATAGGTACGAATAATTTAGAGTTTTACATTTAATTTTTCTGATAATTTAATACTATTTCTTTACTTAATGAATTTTTAATTTTTAATTTTAAATAAAATTTTGTTATTCAAATAAGTTAAAAGTAATTAACCTCTGTTTTTAAATAAATATGTATTATATAAGCTTAACAGATGTATAGGCGTGTTTGAATGATGTTTCTATTATAAGTTGCAGTTTTATCACAATCGTATCAAAGCTTTTGAAGGTGACCTTGATTTTTATTTTGTTAATAATAATTTAAAATACCTAGAGGTTCAAATAATTGTTAAACAGAAATAGGTGTATATCACTAAGTTGCCTCATCATTCTAATTATAGTAAAAAGGTATTAAACATTTTAATTAAATGTTCTTTCAAATCAAGGAAACGTGTTATCTATGCCTTACTAACGCATAAAATAGAAAACATTACCATTGAAACTATCACTTATACTCTCACTCTGTTATTGCTAATATTATAAACGTGAATTGATTTAAACCAGAGATTGCAAATCCATATAACTGATGCTCGAGGTGGCACGCGAAAAGATTTTAAGGGCATGTAGACGTAAGGAAATTTAATGGTACGCTCGAAAAAAAGTTACTTTTGGATCTTAGTGTTCTAATAATGTGCCACCCCCGATTTATGCTATCAAATGTTTAGGTAAGAATAATATCTTGAGCTCCACATTACATTATTTTCTATTTTAGATGTACGTCATCTTTTAATTTTTGGACGATATCCTTATCCATGAGTTTGATAATAGGTCACTAGGTCAGTGGACAATTGAGTGCCGCTTAGCTATATGAAATACGATATAGAAGATTATGTTAAGTAAGTCAGGAAGTACCTAATCATAACCATTCACTATCAAAACAATTTGTCGTTCACTTGTTCAAATCCAGACACAGATATCTACGTTAATATCGCATAGTATTCTCAAAATCACACCACTCAATATGACAACTGCACCACACACATTGACATAATACACCTAACAATAATGAATAGTACCTATACATTTTTGCATAAGTAGGAATGCATCTGCAATTTATCTCATATTTTTTCGACTGTCCTTTACTCTCCATCTTACGTCAGAACTTAGTTACTTCTCTTAACTCCTTGAATATTTCATTTAATCTCTAGTTCATTCCTAATTCTAATTCTAAACAGGTCATTATTATTATTTATTTTATTCAGGAGACTGGTTTTATTATCTGATTGTTTTGTTTATAAACTTTAATTTTATATTTTTAGTTATATATTACTTAATAGTTAATATTATACTTATCATTCTGTTCGTATTTTATAGGTTTGTTAATATTTTAATGTATTGTAATTGTTGAGCTAGATTTATTTTTTATTCATAAAAACTATAGCTTAAAATTTTTATTAATAAATCTAGTTTAAAAAAAAAAACGTAAGAAATAGCCATTTTAAATTTATGGTATATAATAATCAATTCATAAACATTACCGACTACAAATTAATATTTATTATGACAATAGACAACATATCAACATGTGAGATGCGTTGAATGGAGTACAATTTGTGGTTATGAATGGTAAATGTGCATTTTTGTGTTCAATGGTGGACTGTTACTGTAATAAATGTCACAGGCATTCAATGATATATTACTGCGTATACGAGAAACTATTCTGTGCGGAAAGTGTTCATGGGCTAGGATATTTTATACTACATTAATATTGCTATTGGCAAATATATAAGTTGAATTAATTTTTTAAAACCCATTAGAATAATACCTGTTTTTCTAAAATGATGGTTAATTTTTAGGTTACGTCATGAATTATTTATAAAGAACTTTGTGTAAAAAATTGAACATCTAACACATTTTTAGCTACAAAATTATTTGCAAATTTTCGTGATTTTATAGATACGTTTATTGAATATTTACAATCCATGCTATATTTTACAATGAGTAAATTTGAAGGAGGAATGGTAGTAATGTTGCAGTGAAAAGGGAGGCTCGCAGTAAAGCTACCTTTACATAAATCTCAAATTGATGTTTTATTTTTGAGGTCTCAGGACAAATTTCGATTTTAACGTAGAATCAAAATTCTTAAAAAAAAAAATTAAAATCGTGTCTATATATCTACAATATTTTTTAAATGCTATAAAAACAATTTATAAGGAAACAAGGAAACTTGCATTAAATTGACCCAGCTTAACATTTTTTATTGATATTTATAAAAATAAAAAAGGCGGGTAAGTCGTGGATGTCGCTTTGCTGTACAGTAGGTTACAAGTGGGTTACTGTAATGGATGGAATTAAATTTGAATCCAGTGATATTATATATCATTGTATACGAAAAACGATTCTGAGCGAAGACGGTTTATCTGTCTAGAATATGTTATATATTTTTGAAAATTGCATGGTAGATAGAATATACTTATATAAACATTCGGTGAAAATTTCATGTATCTATGGTCATTTGTTTTAGAGTTACACCAAAATAAGGAAATCGCTAAAAGTGAAAATCCAATGTTGTAAAAATTTAAATTTCAAATGCTCATAAAAATTTAATTTGAATTTCCAGTGGAATTTTTATTTGTGATAAAGATTGAAAAACTTGTAAGGAATCTTGTATTAAATTTCAAATCTTAGATTTAAAAAGAAAATTTTTTATGAATTTCTAGCTTAAAATAATTTGTGAATTTTCGTGATTTTTACGTATTTTGTCAAAATTCAAACTTTGAATGCTTATAAAAAGTGTGTGAGTGTGCGTAAAATTTCCCTTAATTTTTAGTTTGTTTTTCTCGATTATATTGAAAAATATTAATAATTTTTGACTTTTGATCCTCCAAAGTACCAACTAGATTCACTTTCTGATCCAACGAGATATTGAAGTCAAAAATCGAAGCATTTTTATTGCTCCAAAACGTGATGACAGACACAAAAAAATAATTAAAAATAAAAACAAACACACATCATGGTAAAATCAATACATTCATCGGAGCGCTCAGAATCTAAAATTGAATATGTCTACAAATAAAGGAATTCAAAATATTTTTAGTTTACAGAAAATGATTAAATAAACGTTAATATTTATCTAAAGTTAATCATTTTTGAATAACAATGATCAAAGAAACATCAATGAAAATCCAATGTCATAAAAATTACTTCAAATAATCATAAAAATGTTTCCGTCTTCCCACTGAACTTTCTTTAATATAGTTAGATAAACTAATAAAGAATTTTTTCTTAAATTTTCATATTTTAGACATGGAATGAAAATTTTTATGAATTTCCTACTACATAATTCATAAAAATTATTGTTTTTACACTCCACTATTTCTTTTAATTACACTAATAAAAATAATTATGCGACACTTTGTATTGAACTTTGATGAAACTAAAAATTATTTATTAACAATAACTGTAAAAAAAATTTCTCATGTCTATAAATAGTTCAAAATATTTAAAATTATTATCATGTATAGAAAATGCCATAATATTATCATTTTGGGAAAATTTCAGTATGCACTTGAATTTGTTTTTATGTTACATCGAAATAGATAAGATTTCTTAACATGTATTTTGATTTACTTAAAAACTATTTCGTCAAAAACTGGTTTTCCATGGTTCTCGTGTTTTTTTTTTTAATTAATATTTTTTATTTATGTTTTCGTTAAAAATAACATGACATCTATCAAACAATTCTATTTTTAGTCGAGTCGTCTTTATTTTTTTTGATGTTATTAACAAAAAAAATTAAAACTAGTTAAAAATTCATATTAATATTAAAAATAAAATTTCAATAGTAATTATATTATATTATTTATTATTGGTGAATTTTGCTTATTTTTAGTGAATTTTATTTGTATGCATATGTAGTCAGATTTGCGTGCATATATTATGTTTGTGTATAATAGTTTTTTAGTACATTTGGATTAAATTCACAGTTCTGTTATTAATTTTAGTTTTTATAAATAAAGTCTGAAAATGACGACAATGAAAGTCCCGCCGAAATAACCAAATGCCGATACATAGTCGAATACATAGAGGTACTCATTGCAGTTAAATAATTAACATTATTTTCGACTATCTATTATCATACCAATTATTATCAACCGATATTTGATTACCCACTGTTTAGGGTAATATTGTACATTTGTACAAGCATTATGTTAAGTTTACGGAGATATTATATACATTACCCATTAGATATAAATATATAATACACCTACACATCCTATATGCATCATAAGTATTCTATTAACATAAGTATTCTATTACATAAATAGGTAATTTCATTTTGTTCAAAATGTGATAATTTGTAAGCTAACTTACCATTTTTGTTACAATTACATTCCAAATCATCACTAGGTCTGAAATCAGGATCATCTTCATCGAATATTATTGATTCTTCGTAGTCATTAAATACTGAACGATCGTCAGATTCATTATAATATGCGGTCCTCATTTTTCTGTTAATTGTGATTTATATCTAAAATAAAAAAAAAAATAATAATTTTACTTGATTGCGATGTTTAATTTTAATACCATTCATTTAAATATGTATAAAATTTAAATTTAAAATAAATAAACATTAATGACATTTTAACTCTCTGACGCTAATAACAGTTTCAAATCATTTGTTATTTAAGAAAAAGAACCATCTAATGCCAGAGATTTGATGTAAGTATTTCGAAAATAATCTCAAATAATAAAATAAAGTTAGTATGAAAAATTTGGGGTTTAATAAACTTTTTTTTTCGTTAGTATCGAGAACCGGAGGAGGAATCATGGTGCCAATACTTCTCTTCCGGCCCCCATCGTTTATTGATAAAAATAACCAATTACACATTTAAGTAGCTGCGACGGGCCAGTCTCCCGTTCGCTAGCTATTACAATAGGATGTTATACAATAATATCGAGAACTTGCCTTCGGCTACATTTTTTAGAAACTTAACTATAGATATGCGTAATTATTAATTAGTTCGGTGAATTCGGAGGTCTTTCTGCGGCCTGACGACGCCGTTCCTCATCCTCCTTCGTAGTAAGGATGTTTTCCACCATGCGATAAAAAAGTTTAAAAACTTCCTCGGCTTCTATAAGAACCGCTTGCTTATCGATTGGATCCAGCGGCAGAGTCTCGAACACTGGACCGTAGATTATGTCGGACACGTCGATGGTGTTCGGACGATGACCTAGCCGGGAGGTTAGAGCTTCCCGAAATCCTTCCCAGTAGACGCACTGGAATAACGTGTGTTCGGCGGTGTCCGAGTCGTCTGCACACTGCCAGCAACGTGGACTGGTGGCCATGCCCATACGATGGAGGTACCACTGGAAACAACCATGGCCCGTGAGTGCCTGTGCCATGTGGAACGTCAGAGGCACCCACGGGACGGTCCTTCCCAGCCATCTCCCCAAGTCAGGGACGACGCAGCCCGTCCATGCAGCTTTTGAGGTTGCTTGCCATCTAGCCTGCCAGGCACCGATCGTAGCGTTTCTCGCCTCGCTTTTTGCGGTTGCTTTGGAAGGTCGTTGTTCGCCGGGTTCCTGCAAAACGGCGCCTAGTCGGGACCTGATACTGCGTCTTTCCAATCCGAGCAGATCGGTGGGTGGCATGCAGGCCAGAACCAGAGTGGCCTGGTCCGACACGGAGCGGTAGGACCGGGTTTTAATAAACTAGTAAATTTATAAAGTCGTATCAATATAAGGCTACCGTCGTTTTGTTTAATATGTATATGTAGATAGTTTATATAATAAAATTGAACTTTTAGATTCTGATTATTGTATGATCTGAATTTATTGATTGTCAATGACGTATTATATAGATTCTAAGCAGAATTGTCTGTGTTCATGATAAATAGTCGAAATAATGCTTAGGTTTTCAATTTCTGTATCTTTTCTGGTGTGAAAGTGAATCTAATTGATGCATTTGAGAAGTCAAAATTTGATGTCTGTAGTATTTTTCAAATATTTTTACAAGAAAAAAAAATTACCATTAATGCATGACATTTGATTTTTTTTTCTATATTATAATGTTAATAAGATTAAAATTTTTGACGAAATTAGATATTTGAACGAAGATAAACACGATCTCAGTTGTTTTGTCTTAATTCAAAAATATTATTCCTGGGCACTTCAAAACTTTTAAAATATGGTATTAAATTTTATACACACAATGACAATTATAAATGTAATTTTATTTGCAAAAATTAATTTAATCTAGGTACCTACTGTAGTACCTGCTAATGCCTAATTATAGTAAAATAAATTTCTCTAATCACAATAATATCATATAATAAATACTTTTTTTATTATTATAATCATAAGCTACTAGTATAAACTATGACAACTTCAAACTTGACATTTACAATGTAATAAAATACGAGATATAATTACAACGTATACATCGATCATAATATATTACACTCAGTAATATACTAATATTATATGTCTATATAAACTATAAACAGACTATCTTTGCTCAGAACCGTCGACTATGATTTGATATCATTAAATTCAAATTTAACAAATCCGTTACAGTGACTTCTCTAGTCTTCTAATGTATAGCAGATCTGTAGAGCATTAACCCTCTTGTCAATATTGAAAATTCTTAATAGGTAATAGGTAGTACTTACTTTTTTATATTAATCGAAAAAAATGAAAATCGAATACATGTACATTTAACAAAAAAATTTTAAAATTACTAAAAAATAAGTGTTTGGTAACCGCTACCAAAATATTAAAACCTTCTAAGATTTTTTTTTAGTAATAGGTTTCTAAATATAAGTTTAAATAAAAAATTAATTAAATTGACTTATATCATTATGGTGACTAATGGCAAATGTATATGAATAATAAAGTAGTTATAATAATTATATAAAAAAAAATTAAATACATGTATTATTTCATTAAATAAATTACTTTAAGAGCAATATCAAAAATACTTATAGGAATACCGAATACATAGACAGACGGCGCGGCGTTGACACGGGTCTTCGCTTAAATTCGTTACATGATTTACGTTCACTCGACACCTACTGCAGTACAAACGAGCGATAAAATTTTTAATAGCTAATTCGTAAAATCTCTTATTTAAAAAAAAAATCTAATAAAATTATCTTAGTCAATTACATATTATAATATATTTTTTTCAATTTTTTAAAATATCAATGATTTTTTTTGAGTTAATTATTTTAACTGTAATAACTTTTACAAAATATCCTTTTTGGGAATTTTCAGATATAAGAAAATCTTAAATAATTTATCATCCATACAATTTTCATAACTTTTTACAATAGGCATACATAGCTATAAACTAAGTCTTGAAATTATTTTATTAAGCAAATACAATTATTATGATCAGCTTAAACAACTGTAATAACAATATTTGTTAGTCAAACAAAAATTGTGTTGGTAGTGTTGGTACATACTACATAATGCAGCTATATATGTGACAATAGAGAGGTACCTGCAGGCTGCAATAATATATGTGTCAAGTATTTTGACATATTTTATAAAAATTTTTTATTAAAACCAATGTTTAATTAAATGTTTAGGTAATGGATTTGTTCAACGTTTTGCGTTTTTGCATTTTATAAAATAAATATTTATAATTTTTATGTTTTTGCAAAAACTGATGATAAATTAAAAAAATTACTTTTCCCAGTTTGTAATCAATTTACAAGATTTTCCATGAAACTTTGACCTTTTTACTAATATAATTTATTTTCTAGAAAAAACATAGTATAGTAATATTACTTATTTTTAAAGCAATATAATTTAAAATACCTACCTAACAAGACATTTAAATTGAAACACTATTAATTTTATTTCATATCCATGGCATCGAAATTATAAAAATAAATATAAATATAATACTTATCTGAGAGTACATAGTTTTTGTGCAATTTTGGGTAGCATATAAAATGCAGAAAAATGTATAGAAATTATCAATTAAAGTATACTAAATATTATCTAAAATAAATAAAATATTGTATTTATCTAATAAATATAATATACATTTTTACTATACTTATAACTGTTAAAATTTTTAAACCTTCTCAAAAATACTCAAATTAAATAAATTTTAATAACTATAACAATTATTACTTACTTATCTGTAAACAATTTCCAAAATACTTATAGTAAAAATATACAAATTTAATATTAGATATTTACTTACATTTTTATTTTATTTTATTTAAATTAATAAAAAAATAATATCTCACTTTTGCTCTTATTCAAATAATGTATGATGGTAGATACTCCAAAAAAAAAAAAAAATGTATAATATTATTTTTATATCATTTGCATAACTTGTATTGGTAAAATATTACAATAAATAATACAGAATTTACACATACAATATAAATTAAACTTCTTTAACAAAAAAAACTGGGATTCTACAGCATTCAAACTTAAAATTACTAAGAAAATATTTAATACATACGATTAAATCTAATAAGTAGTCGGACGAGAGCACATAATATTATGTGTACGACCGTTCAACCATATTACATTATCGAGTTTTTTCGACTGTTCACTCATATTATGAAAATTACGTATATTATGTTAGATAATACAAACATTTATTTTTATCTCTATATAATTATACTTTATCATTTATCATTTATTCCTTTTAATGTTTATTTACTTATATTTTTAAACTAGTCCATAAAACTAATAGAAACATAATTAATATAAATGCTTAACAGACAAAAAACATTATAAATAAAAGAGGTTAATAGTATGATAGCAACATTTATGAATTGATAGCTAATAATTATATCATTATATTATGATAAAAAATATACAACACACTGCATAGTCTGCATATAACATAATATTACAAATCATATACGCATCATATTAACGTTACTACACATAATATAGATGAACAATATGAAAACACCAATAATAATATTATAATTTAAATAATTTTTTATATTATTAATAATACTTTAAATATATTAGTTACCTAATACTACTTATTACTTATTTATAAAACAGATAATAAACAAGTGTGCTGATTATTATTTATAAATAACTATATAGAATATTAAAGATCACTGTCACTCTCTTGGTTAAAAAAATAACCTTTGCTGAATTCCCAAAACTTTATTTTTAATTTGACAATTTTATTCTAATTATAGTAAACTATAGCTGGTGTTTTCATTTGTTTGAGTACTTAGTAAACTAGGAAATATATTTAGCAGGAATATAATTACAATAATTTAGAAAGAAAATTATGTATGATACATATACATGTGGAGCTTATTTTTAATTATTATATTTATCGAGTTTTACGCCTATCTGCCATTGTTCGTCAGAAACTAAAAGATTACCTGCTACAAATAAAAAAAGCTCATGTTGAAGTTGAATATAAGTCTAATAATACTAATGTCTCTAATGATACGTAATAAATAATCATTACTTTGTGCTTATTTCAAGTGACAAGTTTATATCCAAAAAAAGTCTTACTGAATATAATAAACATTAAAAGTGTTGAATTTTTGTTTGCTGAAAATCCTTGTGACTATTAGAAATATATTAAAACAAACGACTGTGCTGGTAACGGAATGCCAAAAAAAATAATGTACAATGGAATAATAAACTCATCTAATAAACAAAAAGTTTCAAATATATTTGCTGCAATGTTTTTTTTAGTATATTTTCGATCGAAAATATAAATATTAATAGCAAAAAATTACCTAATAATGCTAATTTTGACTTACCTGAGTATTATATACTCATAAGGTAGTTTTATCATGTAATCTTGTATTTACTTCATTTGTATGTGCATACACAATGCGTTCAAAAATCATAGACAATTATATGTAATTTATAGTGATTTTAAAAAGGCTTTTGATTCAGTGAATCATGGTACGCAAATTAGGGTGTTTAGTGTATCAGGTTTTGACAAATATCTTTTATTTTATACTGTATATCCTGGTTTTCTTTTTGTATATTTGCCATAACTATTTTATATTCAAAGTGTTTGATATGAATTCTAATGTGTAATTTTCTTTTGATGTTCCGCAAAATGATCACATATTATTAGCACATATTTATTCATCATTTGTAAACAGTACAGTTCTAAATCATTAAAAACTGTTTTGTTTCGTAGATGAAGCTTTCAATACAAATTATTGACTGCCAAAAATTCCAATGTTATGCAAACTATTTTTTTTAGTTTTTTCAATATCTTGGTTTAACTCTCCACTTCGATAAGGGTTACCTTCGTTATGTCATTCACTAAAAAACATTCTACACACAGTTATGATGTGATTCTTTAAGCTAAGTCATTCGGACATTTAGAGTTAATACTATAGTCAACTTTGAGCTTATGTTTAATAATTAGGTTTAGGGACTTCTTTCTAGCATTTGCATATTTTTTAAAATTATTTTTAAATATAGCAGAGTGCGAAATAAATTCGTTTCTCGTTGCCATGATATCAGATCTAAAATTTGAATGAGCATATTTTTGCATATTTGTTAGATTTTGCAGGAGAGTGCATATTTTAAAATTTTTATGCTTATTTTGCATATTTTGGCAAAAATTTCAAATTTCAAACTAAAAACTATAGCTACATATAATTATACATACATATTTCAACCGGTCGAAAAAAAAATGTATTAATATGACTTAATACTTCTAGTAATATGCTATCTGCAAACTACCTTTCATATCTCGTTATATCTCGCAGCATTGATTAAAACCGCTAAAAAGTATTTGAAAAAAGTAATCTTCCATGTCAACTAACATTTATCAAAGCAAATTTTGAATTTTTACCTCGAGCTATAACATTTTTAGAAAAAAGAGGTACTAAGCTGTCGRATTCGTTAAAAATAATTGAAGATACAAAAAATAAAATCAGTCACTTGAAATGTACAAAGGCTATGCCAATTGTAAATAAAATGAATGATGTTTTAGATAAAAATTCTGGTTATAATATTGTGTTGAAAATTTATAAAATATTAAGTAGTGAAGTGGAAAATTTGGATGGTTTACCTGAAAATATGACAAATGATGATTTGGCATACTTTAATTATGCTCCAATTACTTCTGTAGACGTCGAACGGAGATTCTCAATTTACAAAAATTTATTGTCCAGTAATCGTCAGAAATTTACATTCGAAAACATAAGAAAGTATTTAATTGTACAATGTAATTTTCAAGAAACTCAAGATGCAGAATTAATGATGTAATTTTTACACAGAACATATTTTTTTATTTATAAAACAATTGTTTTATTTAAGTAGCAAAGTTATGCCATTTTAAAATATTATAATATTTATATATTTTATTTGGTTTTTATCTATTTAATTTTTAATTATTTTATTTTATTTTTAATTCTCGGTTTAATTTTTCAAAATGTTAAGGTAAATATTTATATTTTCAAATTTAGTTTATGCATATTCAATAATAAAAGTTGTGCCTTTGATTTATAATTTTTAGTTATTGTTAATTAAATAGTTATTATTATTAACAATATACAAGGTCTATGCAAAATGCAAAGATAAACCCGCATTTTACTGTTCCTTCATATGATGACAAATATTAAAATGGACGATAGTTATCACTATTTAGATATATATGTATAACAAGAGCGCATACTAAAAGTTTTGAGGTGTTAGGTAATACTGTTATACTGAAGTACTGAATATTCTTCTTCAGCTTGTCGGCCCATTCAGAGCCTTCATATCCTATAAAACTTCTCCACTTCTCTCTGTCATATGCGTCGTCAAAGATCGAGTTTATTCTTTTATATTTTTATGTCTTGAGCCACAACATCCACTGATCCACCCATCGGGTCCTTGATTTTCTGGCCAGGTTTTTTAGGCCTTATCGAGCGCTTTTGTTTATTTTATTAACTAGCACTTTTTTTATTACTTGTCAGTCTGCTCTCCAGACATGACCAAATCATTCTAGACGTTTACATTTTATATACATATAATATAATATTTGACCTGTGATATAGTTCCAGTAGATTTTTTCTTCTCTGCGTCATACTTTGGGTCGTATATATTCCTCATCATGATCACCTTTCTTTCGAAGGTAATTAGACGTTTGCTATTGCTATATCCTTTGGTCGGTGACCAAGTTTCACACGCGTATGTGACTATTGGTCGTAAATAGTTGAAGTACATTAGTGTTTTTGAGTTACGTGATACTATAGTTTAGATTTAAGAAGTTTCTTTATTTTATTTTATATTACATTATTAACATCAATTACCGCATGCTACTCGATCGTTAATTTTATCATGCATATATTATAGTAGCTATTTATGTTAACGCCTAGGTATTAAATACCTCAACTTTCTAGGATTTTTAATCATCTACTATAAATTATTATATATGGTGTACTTAACATTCAGTTTTTAATATTTAATTACGTATGTGCTTAAAATCCTGCATATTAACTTCTAATACCTACATTCAATTGTAAAATTTATGCAAATATACCTATTTAGTTAATTAAAAGAAAAAAGGGAAGTAGTTTACCACTCTGCCGTAGATGTCGAGTGTACCTCATCGTCATTATTACTCATTGAGCCCTGTACCTAMTGTACCGATGTAGCCGATGTAGGTATTAAATTTGAGCTCAATAATAATTCATTGCATAAATCTATACGATAAACAATCTTGAGCATAACTACATATAGGCTTCTATTACCAAGTTTATTTTATTTAATACAATTTTAAAAAAAATTATATTTTTTTGATGTCGCTATATTAAAGTAATTTATTTTACAACGTATTATATATTACCTAGTTTACGGTTGGTTGAATTAATTCTAAGATGAAAACACCGCATTTATATAACCTATTTTTATGATTGATATATTTAATTTTTATAATTTAGTATATATATATATATATGTTACATATTATATTGTTTATTATTTATATTAACTTTTGAGTCAATACCGCCTACCACTGAACGATGTGAATTATAGGTGGTTCGTGTTATAAATAGGTTGCAATAGCTTAAACTTAAGCTAAATATTTGAAAATGTTACACGAACAATGTACCTTTAAAAGTTTAAGTTGGCACGAATAAAATTATTAAATTACTACAAAATAGTAAAAACTATTATTCTTTGATTAAATACCTATTGGTCAGAGGAGAAGTAGTCAGAGGAGAAGTAATGCTAACGCGGTTCCTTCTCTGGCTCTTGATACAAAAGAAAAAAAATACATAAAAAAAAATACCTATCTAAAAAAATTGTGCTTTTAATTTTTTTGATTCCATAATAATATACTATGATTGAATATATTTTACTAATAATTATAAATATGCATGATTTTAAACAGGTTCT